TATTAACTCTACTTTGTTTGGGCTAGTTCCTCTTGATATTATAAATCTACTCAAGGACATTACTTCATCTGCTACATCGGCATCTACTATTACTATCAAATTTCTTTTACACTTTAATTCACACATTTACTATAACATTTGGATACCCTATTGTATCTCTTGTTCTTCAATTCAATATTCTAATAATGCTATATCTTCTTTACCTCTTTCTACCTATCAGTCTTCTCAACCCTTACCACTTACTATTGCCAGTGCTAAAATTGAATTATGGTATCCTTTATGGATCAAATATTAAACAAATTTAAACTATATAATTACTAATTCACAAATCTAGGTGAGCTATGGCCACCCTAGTTGGTTTAGGCCGCAGATAAACTAGTCTGAAATTTTTTTCTTGCTATCTTAGGATATAAAATTTAAATAGATTCTCTTCTTTGTAAAGATTTCTTTTCATTGTAAAAAAATTAAATTAAATTTTAATAAAGTCAGAGACATGGTCTCACTATTAATATTCAAAAAAAGAAAGAATATATTCTATAATAAATATATATTACCTTTTTCTAGTAAATTGTTTTACCTGAAATAATAAATTAATATCGTATTTTACCCAAATAAACTTAAATCTTATGCGTTCAACATAGTCCTAATGGCTTCTGCATCTAATGCTTATATACATCAGAAAGGTTCAAGTCCAGTATAGCAATTTTTTGATCATCCAGTTAAAGAATCAGGAAAGAGAAAAGCCAAATGCCAACTATGCGTAGAAGACAAGTATATTGGTATAAGCAATAGCAATATCACAAATCTATGTAATTATATTACAAAATTCTACAAAATCAATATCTTAGAGGCTGCTGCTAGTTTAGATTTCGCTCCTTAGCCAGGTGAACATATCCTTCGAGAAGCGTTAGTTAAATGGATTGCAATGGATTGCCTTCCATTTATTTTCATTGAATTGGAAAGCTTCTGTGAGCTGGTTGAAGTAATTAGAAAATTAGAAGGAAACGTTATGATTCCCTTAGCCAGAACAATAAAACGTGATTTATTAGAAAAATATTTAGCACTAAAAATCACATTAAAAGATAAACTAGCAAATAATTTAAGTAAAATTTCTCTTACTACAGACCTCTGGACTAGCAATAGTTGCAAGGTATTTTTAGAAGTTACAGCATACTGGATTGATGAGGACTGGCAAATTTAATCTTGTGTGCTTGATTTAGCACCATTTGAAGGTCCCTATATCAGAGTAAATATGGCAAATGCATTGATTACTATTTGTGATGACTTCAGTATTACTAACAAAATCCTTAGAATAACAGTTGATAATACTTCAAGTAACAATACGTTTCTTGAAGCATTTGAAGAATTTTCTAATAATAATGGTAGTTCTTTTATTAAACCGCAAGATTATATTCATTGCCTTGCCCATATTATTAATCTTGCTTTGCAAGATTTTTTACACCATCTACGTTCTGAGACCTGAATCATAAAAATGATAAGCTTAATATTTTAAACCAAACCAATACTTCTAATATATCTTAAACCTCAACCGTTAAAAAACTTCGAAAGCTTATTGTTAAGCTTCAGTCTTCTTCTCAGCATCGTGAAAGATTAAGAGAATTGTGTGAATCTCTCGGCATAAAATATAAGAGTCCAATTCTTGATTCCAAAATGCGATGGAATTCGACTCTTCATATGATTGAACATGCTATTGAAATATCTCTAGCAATTAACAGAATAGTTAATGAAGTTTTCGAACTAAATACCCTTAGTCTCTTGCCAAGAGAATAGAATATGCTAGAAGAAATTTTATTATCTTTAAAAGTTTTTTATAATATATACGAAGCGTTGTGTAGTGAATCATATGTTATAATGCTCTTTGCTATTCCAGCGTTTAACTTAATCATGGATGATCTTGAAGAGATGTTAGAAAAAGAGTTATTTCCAATAATTAATAAAGCTATTGAAGTAGTACATAAAAAATTAAAGCTTTATTATGCCAAAAGTGACAATCTAATATATGCCGTGACAACCCTATTAGATCTAAGAATAAAGAAAGTGTTTTATAAAATAAGTGGTTGGGAGGATGAGTAGATTAATTGGGCAATCGTGTAGATGATGGGCAGGTAACCCAATGTAGTAGTGTACTGATTTGATTGCATTGATAACAATTAGGTGAGACATAG